GACAGAGTGAGACTGTCTCCAAAAAAATTAAGTAAATAACATAAGAAATAAGGGGGAAACATCAGAAATCACCAAAAGCTTGGCATGGTTGACCAATAAGCCAGAATAGATAGGAAACTCAGAAATACTAGTAAATGTAAGGAGTTTAAGATCAATTTAAATTGAACGTAAGAAATCAGTGAAGAAGAGGAGATTTATTCAAAAAAGTTTCCTAAAATAATCTATTTCTGGTGTAACTTTTTGAGAAATTGCCAGACTGTTTTTGGTGGCTGCACCATTTTCTATTTCCCCAGCAATGTACAAGGGTTCCATCTCTGCCAAAACTTGTTATTGTCTTACCTTTGTAATTATAGTCATCCCAGTGGGTGTGAAGTAGTATCTCAGTGTGGTTTTGATTAAAATTTGAATAGATTTTAATTTTAAAGATAAGAGTTGCTTTGCTATTGGGTCAGCCTATTGGATAGCTTCTGCTAATTGAATTAAATATTAAAATGGAACTTAGCAATATTGCATGGGACCACGGCTCTATGAGGGACAGTGGCTTAATTCAAGGTTTAGATGTAGTTTTCAACTTCTGTTATCAAAAAGAGCCTAATCTGTGTCCCATTCAGTGGCCTTGTACACCAAAAGCCTCAAGATGGTCGCTGGCTTGTAAAATTCAACGTCACTGAGAGTTGACAGAAGCAGAGAATCAGAGCAGAGAGGGAAGTGGGCTGGCGGCAAAACCAAGCTTACTTGTTCTTGGCCTTGAACGTTCCTCAGTAGCCTAAGATTTCTGGATTTTGAGTCATCAGGGTTTCAACTTACCTATTCCTATCAGTTATTCCTTCATACCAGTTATCATTCATTCATTTGACAAACATTACGTGACAGTCTTCTAAAGACTAAGAAGCGCGATATGGGGAGGAATAATACAAAGTTTCTGCCATCACCAGAGGTTCCTTGTAAATTCAACTTAGGTCACATTATGTAAAAATCTGGCTGTGTTTAATACATACACAATGCTTGATTTTTTTGGTTTTAAATTGAGATGTACTTTTTTACTTTCATTGTTTTTTCTTTTTTTTCTATTTAAAATGCTATCAAATAGGATGAGATATACTTTTTTAAAAGTTGTTGCATAAAACACGTAAAATTTACCATCTTAACCATTGTTAAGTAGTAAGTATATTCTTGATTTGGTTCTAAACAAATTATTTTTGTGGCTAAATTTTATATTCTCTAACCTTGCTTTCTAATGGAATAGTTACCCTAAAAGTATCTGCCGAAGGTAAACATTAACAGAGTTCTTAAATATATTGAGAAACCTCACTGGAGAATGTGATTTGAAACAAATGAATCTTTATGATCGTTCACGTAGCCAACCAGCATGCACGGACTGAGCACCTCCTGAGTGTCAGTCTTTGTGCTCAGCCATGGAGATAGAGAGGGGAGCAAAAGCAGGGTGGATCCCCTCCGTCTGGTGATTAAAATCTCCTGGGAGGGATGGACCCTAATTGTCTAGTTCTCCCCCAAAATAGGACCTTGCCTCTGTGATAGAACCATGAAGGAAAAATACTGGTACTGAGAGATCACTGA